TCCCAGTCCTTGTCCCTGTCCCTGTCCATGTCCATGTCATGTCCCTTGTACTTTCACTTTCACTGTTCCAGCCTTTGTCTCTGTCTCTGCCTGTCTGTCTGATACAGGGTTTCTCTCTCACTTTCCCCCTTTCTGACTTTCTCCTTGGACTCACTCTTTCTCCTCGCACTCCTTCTCTTTCTCACTTGCCCTCTCTTTTGCAATCTTTCTTGCTATTTCTTTTTATCCTTATCTTTTTGTTTCTTTCCTCCCTTTGTCTTTTGTTATTTGTCAAATTTTTTTTTCTTTCAGATACCCAGTCTTTCCATTAAAAGCTCTCCTTTACCTCCTCAGAATCACGGGACGCCCTTGGAGGACCTGGCTGGGTCACGGTCTGCGGGCTGCCTCAAGGTCTTTATACAGAGGGACTACTCGGAGGGGACATCTGTCAAATTCCAGACCAAGTTCCCGCCTGAGCTGGAGGGAAAGGTTAGATACTTAGGGGAACATTTATTTTGAGTTTTAGTGTAAAGGAAATACTGTTATTGGAGGTGGGCTTTGAGTATATAGTGATTTTTATGAACAAAATTGTCAGAGAAGTCATTTTACAGGTTTTGTTTTCCATCAAGTTTTAGTATTTTTTGGTGTTAGTAATAGGATTATTAGTGTTAAGGAATTTGAATTACTTACTGGAATAATATTAGCTTAAACTCAGGTATTTCATACATCTGTCTGAATGCTAGATTAAAGGAATTGCTCATGTAGAAATGATTAGACTAGGGATTTTCCACACTCAGAAGCCTTAAAGTTGGAATCCTCAAAAGTGTGCAGGGTATTTCCATGAAGTGACTTAAGGAAGAATTTTTTGAACTTTGGAATGTAAGTTTTTTATTAGCTGCTAGCATTTTTAGATATATATTAACTTGCTTGTGAAGTATTTATATGCTTATTTGGCTTTGTTGTAGTTCATAACTAGAAAGCTTCAGAAATTTTAGGATTTTTACTGGATTGATTGCCATTGCAGATTGAGAAATCCGTCTTTGAGAACACAATAAATGACATAAATGGGATGTTTGTGGAAGCAGAGAAGATGTCATGTGGTCGGTACTGTGAAGGCTGTCTAGGGTGCTTAACAGCATATCTTGTGTTCTTCTGCATGGAAACACATTATGAACAGGTTAGTGAATAACTTGTATACATGTTGGTTACTCTTCGTACCTCGTAGAGTAGTATGGCTTGATGTGTGAATTAGACTTATACCTGCAGTTTAAGATATATCTTTTTTTTTTTGCAGTTGATGAATTCTGTTTCTTTTTTGCAAAATAAACAACTTTTGTTGGTAGTGCTTAAAAAGACTGTGCTAAATGTCGTTTGTGAGATAGATATTCTAATTTTTCATTCAAATAAGTAATCTTTTAATGGAATTCATATGAATGAATTGAAAATGAAATAGGAGAAATGCTTTTTCCTCATTGATTTGATTTCTGGATCTCAATTATTGCAATCATTTAATTATTTTTTGCAGATGATGAAGAAGGTAACAAAATATGTGGCAGAACAGAATGAAAGGGCCTGGTCACCTCGTGGCTTACTCCTCACCAACCCCATTGAACGTGGACTGAGAGTTGTATCCTTTTACATTACTCATCACCAATGTGTAAACTAAAGTTTAAGGCCCTATCACACAAGCACATTTTCCGTCAATTTTTGTGTTCCGTGTGGACTTTCCAATTGCAAATGGACTAACCCTGTCACACTACCAAGGCAGTAAACAAAGTGCCCATGTAAACAAACATGGCGCCATCTGAGTGAGGTCTCAGGAGTCACACGAGCATTCTCATACAAACCATGTTATTTTGAATAAATATAATTATTTATATTGTTTATAGAAATATTCTAGAATATTAACTGATGTTCACATTAACATATTCTATCCAATTTATCAAAAATTGTAGTTGTATAGATCCTCTGGGGCACAAGATCAAGATGGAAATTAGTCATACGGAAAAGGTCCCTACTGTCTTCATCTGGATGAGTTCTATTTGCAACAGATGCTTGTGGAAAGACTGAAATTCAGACGGAAATACAAAAATTCACAGAATATGGCCTTTAGAGTGGGTATGTTTGAAGAATTTTGTTTATTATCAGTGATAGAAGTATGTTTAATATATAAAGATTTATCTTGTCAGTTGGATCAATTGCTCAATTTTGAAACATGATTTAGATGGATAGGTAGACTGAATTGATGGATGCATAGAAAAGTGGAATGGTGGCTAGATATGCTAACCCATTGCTGTCAGTAATGGCATATACATGCATGCCATACCCACAGTGAATTTAGTGTATTAACACATAATGAAAAAATTTAGCTGAGGGTCGGTGATGTGAAAGTGGTGTCATGGAAGAATTTGGCTGAATGCTGGGTGGATGGAAAGGACTCATAAGTGCAGAAATAAAACAAAACCTTTTGCATTATTTCCATCAGTAAATAAGGGTGGAATATACCGTCCTCAATCTCTGA